CAGGACCCCAGCACCCAAAGGATCCCCTCTCCAGCCCACTATATTCCCCCAGCCCAGCGATGAGCCTCCTCTGCACTCCTGGAGGGGCTTACCAGTTGCTAACGAGTCAATTCCAACTCACATTGACCCCATGTTGCAGAGCAGAACTGCTCCCAGGGTTTTCAAGGCTGTGACCTTTCAGAAGCAGATTGCCAGGTCTCTCTTCTGAGGAGCATCTAGGAGGGTTTGAATAGCCAACCTTTTGATCAGTGTCAAGCATTTAACTGTACCACCCAAAAAACCCAAACCAAACTCACGACCTTCGAGTTGATTCCAACTCATAGTGACCCTTCACGACAGAGCAGAACTTCCCCATACAGTTTCCAAGGCTGTAAATACTTAAAGAAGGAGACTCCCTCATCTTTCTCCTGTGGACAGCTGGTAGGTTTGAACCACTGATCTTTTGGTTAGCAGATGAATGCTTTAGCCATTACGCCACCAGAGCTCCCTCCTGGAGGGGCTTAAACCAAAAAAAACAAACAAACAAACAAACAAACCCACTGCCATCAAGTCAATTCCGACTCATAGTGAGCCCCATTGTGTTTCCAAGGTTGTAAACTTTTATGAAAGTAGACTGCCTCATCTTCCTCCTACAGAGCAGCTGGTGGGTTTGAACCACTGATCTTCTGCTTAGCAGCCAAATGTCTTACCCACTCTGCCACTACAGCTCCTTCCTGGAGAGGCTTGTTGTTGTTGTTGTTATGTGCCATTGAGTCGGACCCGACTCATAATGATCCCTCCTTGGGTTTCCGAGGCAGTATCACTATGGAAGTACATTGCCCAACCTTCCTTCCGAGGAGTGGTTGGTGGGTTTGAACCACCAGCCTTCTGGTTAGCAGTCAAATGCCTTAGGCACTATGCTACCAGAGCTCCTCTAGAGGGGCTTAGGTTCACTTAATCACTATCAGGAGTATTCGGCCAAATGGCCTCAAGGATACTTAGATAGAGAACTGACTGAGGGAAAAACCATAGATGGCTTCCACTGCTAGAAGAAATACATGGGTTGGGTTTGAGTGCTGGTGGACAAGAGCCTCAGGATGGGGAAACATTTGTCCCAATTCAGGCCTCCTATTCCCTATCCGGAGGAGCTCTGGTAGCATAGTGCCTAAGGCACTTGACTGCTAACCAGAAGGCTGGTGGTTCAAACCCACCAGCCACTCCTCAGAAGGAAGATGGGGCACTCTACTTCTGTAGTGATACCGCCTCGGAAACCCAAGGAGTGGTCGCTATGAGTCGGATCCAACTCGATGGCACATAACAACAACAACATTCCCTATCCGGGAGCTCTGGTGGTATAGTGTACTTGACTGCTAACCAGAAGGCTGGTGGTTCAAACCTACCAGCCACTCCTCGGAAGGAAGACTGGGCAATCTACTTTGTAGAGACACCACCTTAGAAACCCAAGGAGGGGTTGCTATGAGTCAGATTCGACTTGACGGCAGTGAGTCTTTTTTTTTGTTTTTTGTTTTTTGGTGATTCCCTATCCACCAAGAGTCCAGCTTTCTTTTTGATTTTTTGGCACTGAGAATCAGGGCAGGAATGACCACTGACCCTTTGTCTTCTACTCCATATCAGGACCTCAGAAATGCTGCCCTCCTGGGTGCCCCAAAGTCCCATAGTTCACTGAGGTGCCAACATGGCTAGCACTGTCTGGTTTCCGTCAGCAGTGCCAGAAGCAGACCTGGACCCCCACCAGCGGGCAGGTGCCCAGAAGCCTGTCAGGCACCTGCCTTTTTCTTAGTGAGTGTGGAGGAGGAGCACTGACCACATAGCTCCACCTCCCATCCTGCCCCCAATGACGTCACCCAGGTCCTCTCCAATACCAATATCCTGGAAGCTCCACCCAGTTGCAAGGAACCAGGGACTCTAATGCCTGTGAGGGGAGATGCAGCATAAGACTGCTGCACCTCTCCCTGTAATGGGAATCCTTCCAGTGGGCTCAAAGGAGGCAGACGGGGTGTGGCAGCAGCAATGGGTTTGGAGAACTACTAGGTAGGCTCCAGGATCTATGGGAAGGTCTCTATCTATTGAATGCAGGCCTTGAGTTCAACTCTAATACCCTAGAAAGACCTCCTTTTGGGAGATGAGCCATGAGAGTAGAAAAAGCAGTGGGTACAAAATTCCTAACAACTGCTCTGCAGCCCAGAGGCTAAGATACCCCCCATCCCTCTTCTGAGCACCTTCACCCCTACTCTCTCCCTCACCTCCTCCTGCAGACTGGGAAGCAGCAGAGGTTTCCTGGGGATCCTGCTTCATTAACTACTACATCATTTTTGACACAAGCACTTCTACCTTTCCTCTTCCCTTTGCTCTTTTGCTAGATTTTTCATCTTTCCTACAAGCTATGTCTCATTTGCTTAGCACATTCATTATTAACAAAAAAGAATGGATCTTTGAGATTCAATTTTGTTTAACTGGTTAGCTTGTCATGAGAATTCTGAAAATTTCAACTAATCAGCAAAGCCAGAAACTAGGAGAAAGCTGGACTCCTTGCCTGGTAAGAGAATGGTGTGTGTACCTTCCAATTAAGAAGAGACAGAAAGTTCTTTTGCTGAAGACCATAAAGGAAAGATTTTCCATGGACTAGCTCATTAACCTGTGCTAGGCTTTTAAGGGAAGATAGAAAAAAGCCCCATGTCATCCCACAATAAGGTGCTTTTTTTAAAAAAAAAAAGAAAGAAAGAAAGAAAAAAAATTGCCATAAAGTCAATTCTGACTAATGGTGACCCCTTGTGCTAGGTAAGCCTTAATCAAACTCAAGTTTGATAATTAGCTCCTCCTCCCTATAAAGTGGGACTTGGGAACTCATACCAAATAATAATATGCTGAGGATAAAATGTTCTGGTCTTCTGCTCATTCACTCACAAACACAGAATGAATGCCTACTATGTGCAGGACACATACCATTATACTGGCCTCTGAGGAGGTATCTCCAAACCAAGTTGGAAGCATACTGGAAAAGGAACCACAAGCAGTTATATCGATTCCAGCCACCAGATGGCAGGGTGGGGGTTGGGAGGAGCAGTGCCGAGTAGGGGTTAACGGGTCAAAGGCAGTGAGCATCACCATGAGGGGGTTAAGATATGCAGGATGGGACAATGCAGAACAGTAGGTCTGGACTATGAAAAAGGACAAAGAAGAAAGCTGTGAACAATTAAAAAGTACACCATTCATGTAAGTCCAAAGGCACTGAGAAGCACACGCCAGTTCCAGGCTGACACAGATGCTGGCGAATGAGTCAAATGAACAAATAAGCAGAAGGGACATGCCAACCAGAAGGCTACAAAAGTCATTCTCGACATTTCAAATGATTCTCGCCACCCAAAAAAATAAAAAAGAATTAGAGTATCTCTGCCCCAGTTTCCATAAAACTCTAACTACATGTCAGGTAACATTCCAATAGCAGTGGCTGGAGGGTCCCAGCCCACGGAGACATCTGGGGTAGTCCTACTCAGATCATCTCAGACCAGACTCCTTGGAAGAGAAGCAGTGGACCATGCCCAGGCAGGAAAATAGACTTTCCTCCCCAGTCAGAAGGCCAGGATGCATTCAGATGCCTCCTCTCCCAGCTGTGGGACATCCCATAATTAATGAGGTGAAGACAGTCATCACAACAGCCCCCATTGGATTGGAAAGGAACCCCAGAACTTGAGAGAGGAAGTGACTTGCCCAAGGTCACACAAGAAACTAATGCAGAACCAAGACCAGAGCTCAGTCTTCTTCCCTCCCAGCTCTGAGCTTTCCCCTTTATGGGAAAAGCTGCCCCACCCACCCATACATCCAAAAAAGTTATTTCGGCTAAAGCAGGTCACTCCACACAAAAGTTGAATGCTGAAGTGCAACCGCTTCTACCCAACCTCAGCCTGAATGACTTTCTCCTGCTTCCAGGACTCCTCCTGGACCATGGCAGCTGACCGCCTCCAGCAGGCTGGAGGACAGGCCCTGGGGCAGAGCCAAACATCTGTGCTAACTATGTCTGGGTGAAGAAAGGCGGAGGCAGTAGTCGGGGTGAAGAGACAATCAGATATGAATTTAAGAAGTTTTCAAAATTTGTCCAACTAGTATTTCTTTCATACTTACACACACACACAGCCTCCAGAACCACACCGAAGCCACAGAACAATTCTGAGTTGCTGTACCCACTGATACCTTCTCTAAAAATTAATCACTCCTAGTCTCCCTTTTCCCCTTCCAGCCTCTGGGGCTCCGGAGCCTGGGAGGGCTGGCATTTTCAGGGAAGGAGCACGTGGCCAGTCTGCTCCCTGCCCAAGCCACTGCAATCCCTCAAAAGCAGCAACTGGCCACCCGATGGCAGCAGCCCTCCCACACCCCTCCTTTCCCTGAACAAGCCCCAACTCAGAGGCAGATCTGAGGACTAGCAATTGAGTCTATTTCACTTGCTTGGGACACGGGCACTTCCTCTTTCTCCTAGGACTGATTCATTGAAAGGAGGGGGAGGATGTGACCTCTACCCATCGCACTCCCATAAAATGCTGCAGATTATATTCTTGTGCATTACAAGAGGGATACAAGAAGAAACTCAGAAAACCATCTTCACTTGTGCCTGTCTTCAACTCAAGGTCACAAGCTGGTAGAAATTCTGACCCACGGCCCCACCACCACCACCACCATGTTGCTGGTTACCCTGGCAGAGGCACCTCTAGCATAGGTACTCATAAGAGAATGATAAGGTGGCAGCAAACACTGCCAGCCTCCTGGGAGTAGAGTAAGTTTCTCCTAGAAGACAGGCAAGTTGGAGCCTCCATTCAGTCACCAAAGAGAGGGAGGAAGGGAGCGAGATGCACGATAGAGGGAAAAACGATTAAAAAAAAAAAAAAAAAAAAAAACTTACCGTTGTGCAGAAGGCAGAGCAATGCAGCACGGAGAGAGAGAGTGTGTACCATGCTCTGGTAGGCAAAGAGGATGGGAGGGCAAAGGGAGAGATAAAGGAAAGGACTTACCCAGAATATCAAATTGAAGAGAAACATCATATACTTCAAGCAGCAGAGGCAACCCCTGGCCATGTTGCACTTTTTAAATTCTAGGAGGAAAACAAAGGAGAGGTCCAGGTAAAACACCACGTACTTGCTGCCTTTGGGTGCATTGTACTTGTCAGTCTTAACGCCGGCTTCGGCGTGGCTCTGGCCCCGGGAGCCCGCGGTGCCGTAGAAGGCACCGGCCGTGAAGCCGCGGCCGAATGGGCGGCCCGAGGTGGACGGCTTGGCAAAGTCCGAGTCCTTGCTGTCCAAAGATGGACTCCGGTGGATCGAAGAATCTTCACTACTCGACTTCTCCATGTTCGCGTCGTTCCCGAGGGGCCAGAGGGGCGGGGGGCATTGCTCCCGGAGTGGGACGAAGGGGGCGCCCAAGTTGGGTGCACGGGCCGGTGAAGCCTTGCACGCCCTCTCTGTACCAGGGCGCCCTCCTGGCGGAACCCTGTGCCCAGGAGCCTCTGTCTCTAGGACGGCGCCCCACTCTGGCCGGCCGGCCCAGGAGGGCTCTGCGGCTTGGCTTGGCTTGGCTTGGCTCTACAAGCGCTAGCGAATGCTCTCCGGGAACTGACTCGACTGCGTAACTTAGCGTCTTTGGGAAGGCTGAAATTTTATTTCTCTGTCCGAGGCGTCCGCTCGCCTCTCGAGTGCACCGGCCGCTCCACTTGAGGCAGAGGGCGCCCAGCTCCAGGCTCCCTGGGCACACCTCTCCCAGCCCAGCCCAGCCCAGCCCCAGAGATAAGCCCAACCACTCTGTGGGCGCTCCGCCTCCTCGTGCTCCACGACTTTGAGGAGCTGCTCTCCCGGCCCTGGGCTGCCCGGCGCGCGGCGGGCACTACCGAGGGATCCGCCGCAGCTGCAACCGCTGGGCTTTCCCTACGAAATCCCAGCCCTGACTCCCGACTCCAAAATCGCCCGATCCTCCTCCCCCGGCCCTAGGCCCTGCCTCCTGCTTAGCATTCGACCAATGGGCACGCGACCTGTTCGGCCCCTATGGGGGAGCCACCCCCCTCCCCAATGACACAATATCTTTAATAGGATTAGCGTTCTGCTGTGTGCCTATACAAGTGCACTGCGAACCCTCGCTAAATGTCAAGGGCTCTTTAGCTGAGGGTGAATTAGAACCTTTGTCAGAAGGCGCTGGTCTCTTTAACCAGAGAAACAGCAGCAGTGAGGGGGGAGGCTGGAGGAACCAACCACCCGAATAAAGCCAAAAAGGTCTGTGGGGGAAAGAAACACGACCACTGTCTAACTGGCCGCCGCCCCCTGTGCACAAGAGGGCCTGTTCAGCCGGGACGCATAGTCTCCTGACTAAATATGCGAGCGTGCGCGCGCGCACACACATACACACATGCACACACACACGCACACGCGCGCTTTGCACACATGGGTCTGGCTAGGAACGCAAGGAGAAAGGACCGCAGGGCAGAGGCAAGGTGTGGGAAAGGGGCTTGGGGCCTCTGTGGTGCGCGCACTGATCTCCGGGCGCACGCGCGCACGCGCGCGAGTACACATGCGGCTCAGTGAGGCTCCTGCAGCCGCGTAAACCCCCACCCCGCATTCCCGGGTGGGACGCGGCTTCAGCTGGGGCCCCAGCTCGACCAGGCAGGGTAGGTGGCCGAAGTGGGCGTTCTGCCTTGCCTCTCTGCATCCTGCCTAAGCCAAGAGTGATGTAGGAGTGCTCTTGGTCAGAGCTGAATCCTCTCCTGTGAGGCGTGCACAAAAAGGGCTGGTCAGAGAAGCGGCGTATGGAATGTACTTCCTAGAGGCTTGGGAACGTCCAGGAGCAGCCTTTCATCCTTGGGCTTGTTCATGAGTCTGCAGTGGGACCACCACAGTTTGCAGACAACGTTGAAGTGTAGAAGGCTTGGGGGCAGGGATCCCATCTCTCTGCTGCTGCCATCCCTGTCACTAGGCAATGGAGTGCTGAGAGCCTCTGAGAGCAGGACCTTGTCTTACTAGGTTTGGTATCTCCAGCACCTACCACCAGGCTCTGCTTCTGGGAGGTGCTCAATGGGGATGGCTGGGTAGAAGAAGTACGTGCCCTACGCAGGCATGAGAGTGTGAAACCTTCTCCCTGGATCTGATCAGAAATTTATTCCATACCTGCTATGTGCCCAGCACAGGCCTGACCCTTGAGGAAACAGATATAAGATGTGCTGCTCCCTGCCCTTAAGGCACACACAATCTAGTCAGGGAGACAGGAGGACATTAATCACCAAGGTGGGACAGAGGGATGAGGGCCAGAACAAAGCTGCCACACTGACTATGGCTGTGTGGGAAGGGGGGACATGAACCTCAACCAGGGGGACTTCAAGGCCCTCATAACAGGGCTGTTGCAGTACACTGGCTCCACACCTCCCTAGACACCTCCCAGGCCTGCATCCTAGAGAGGAGCACTTCCAGAGTCCGAGGGCACCTCAGCTTCTTTGAAGGAACCTGCAGTGGTTTTACTCTTCTGAGCCCCTTCTTAACTGAGAGGGGCTCCCAACAATAGAACAGTATGGACTGTAGCCACCAGCAACTTATTCTCTCCTGGATGGGCACAGCAGTCCTGTGGATGCTACCTACAGATGAAGGGGGCAGATGTCTAGCTGGCTCCTGATGGAACACCATGTTGCCTGACTGGAATGCCTAACGCCTTCTGTCCTCTTTAGTTTCACCCAGGCGGCTCCTGAGGGGCCCATGCTGTCACTTCATTCTTACATTACTTCCTTGATGCAGGCAGGGAGAAATCATTTACCAGCTGGACTGGGAGTCAAGAAACCTGTTCTTCACTCTCAAGTCTTTTTAGCTGTGTGATCAAGGACAAGGTACTTTGCCTTTCTGAGCTTCCATTTCCTCCTCTTTAAAGGGGGATTAATAGAGCCTACTTCCTAGAGATGTTGTAAGAATAAAGTGAGCTGGCATATGTGAGAACTACCTGAGGACTCTAAGCACAGAACAAATATAAGATACTATTATTACTATTCTCATATGGACACCTGGTATTAGCGAAGGCCCTTCTTCACTGGCCCCCTCTACCTTCTAATCTTTTCTCATGTCTCCATTCTCCCCACCCACCTTGTCCAGTCAAGTCTATCTTCCCCACTGTCCCTGGATCATTCCTCATTTCTGATTATGAATGAATTCTTGCCACTAACTACTTCCTCAGCAACCCAGGCAGAAGTCTGAGGGCCTGGGGAGAAGAGAGTAGAGAATGACAGGCAGGGAAGAAAAGAAAAGGCTGTCCAATGTCACTGTTCTACTCCCTCCTGGTCACACTTGTCAAAAGGGCACCTGAAGTCCCACTCATCAGTCCAATAGCAAAGCTGCAGTAAAGTTCCATCAGGGTATCTAGCCTAGTCCTTATCAGAATAATAAGAGCCACTCAGATTTATAACCCTGGTTAAGCTCTCGGCTGCGAACCAAAAGATCAGCAGTTCAAACCCATTAGCAGCAGCTCCATGACAGAAAAAACCTAGTGATCTGCTCCCATAAAAATTATAGCTAAGAAACTCTATGAGGCAGTTCGACTCTGTTATATAGGGTCCTACAAGTCAGAATCAACTCCATGACATACAACAACAACAAACCACCACCACCTATTGTCTGTCAGTTTGTTGTACCATTGTGGCCTGTGTGTTGCTGTGGTGGTGGAAGTAATGCTATGGGTATTTCAAATACTAGCATATATTCAAATACCCATTGTGAACAGGTTTTAACAGAGCTTCCAGCATAAGACAGATTAGGAAGAAAAGTTTCACAATCTACTTCCAGCAATTAGCCAATGAAAACCCTTTGGATCACAACAAAATATTATCCATTATTGGACAATGAGCCCCCTAGGTTGGAAGGCACTCAAAATACAGTGGCCGTAACAACAGACTTGAGCACACTGATGGCCGTGACGATAGTATAAGCCTAGGCACCATTTCACTCTGTTGTATATGGGTGATCCTATGGACAACTTGAGTAGGAGCCAACTCAACAGCAACCAACAACACTATATATCAGGCACCAAGTTTTACATGCAGTAATTAATCCTCATGACAGCTCTATGAGATAGCTATGATTATTATTCCCATTTTATAGATAAGGAAACTGATTTCAAAGCCCATGTTCTTTACTTACTTGGGCTCTAAACATAGCTCCTGCCCTTGGGAACCAACAGTCAGGATTTCAAAGCACAAGGAACCTGAAATAAGAAGTCCTGATAAACAGTCATTATAAAAAGACCCTGAGTAAGGGGCAAAAAGGAGAGATGTGGTTAGGAGCAGGGCCTCAGGATGGGTAATTAGCAAGGGTGGATCACTGGGGGGATGACCCTGAGTTATCTTACAGAAGGTTGGGAGAAGGAACGGGGTACAGGGAGAATGTAGTCTGGAAGACAGGAAACTATTACATGCCAGGAGGCAGCTAGGACAAAGGTAATAGAGGGGCTTTAAACAAACAAAAACAAACTCACTGCCATCCAGTCAGGTCTGACTCATAGCGACCCCTCCTTGAGTTTTTGAGGTGGTATCACTATGGAAGTAGATTGCCCAACCTTCCTTCTGAGGAGGGGCTGGTGGGTTTGAAGCACCAGCCTTCCAGTTAGCAGTCAAATGCCTTAGGCACTACACCACCAGAGCTCCCTTAGAGGGGCTTTAGGAAGGACGTTTCAGCAGAATAGAGAGCATGTACCATGATAGAGCAAGCAAAGAGGGGGTCCTTGGAGATGAACTGATAGACTGCTGAAGTGGGTCTGACAGGAAGAGAAGAGAGAGACAGTATTCTAGGAAGGCTTGGGTATGGCACACTCAGGGGGCAGGGACGGGGCAGGCTTGATGGAAACAGAGAGAATGTTCCTACGAATCAAAGGTGAGCCATTCTGTGAGGCCTTACAGGGCACACAAAAGGTCTGAACTTCATCCCAGAGTTTCCCAAGCAGTGGAGGCAGTGGAGGCATATACAGAATCCATGATCTAGGAAGCTGGCTGGGCAGCAGCATGAAGGAGAAGGTAGAAGACCAGCTGCCATGGCTGCCTCAAGTCCGTGGATTCTGTGTGCAGGAAGACCGACCGTACAGAAAAGGTGATCTGGGATGCCACTTTTCCTGCCCTTTCCTGATGCTCAATCACTTGCCATGCCCAGGAAAGCTGGCAGGTACAGGCTGCCCTTGAGGGGATCTTGGAGAATGTGAACAAGGCAGAGCTGCCTTTTCTTTTTTAACAACAACAACAAAAAGCAAGTCAGTACAGAATTCCCAGGGGGCAGGAAAAGAAGTGAATACGTGAAATCAACGTGCAACATCTCTTCTGACTGGCAACTGGGGAGATGTGAGC